TCCAGTGCCTTAACAGGGTCACAATTAACTGTAGGCACTGCAGGTTACTCAGGACACTTACTTCCACCTGATTAGCTGATTAAAGGTGGGGTAGTAAAGGAGTTGTACACAGCGCTGTTGCGTGAGTTAGATTACTTGCTGTGTTGTTGTTCGCACTATATCATTGTATCTGTAATGGTATTGGTTACCCACCGTCGTTTAATTAGTAATAACTGATAATCGCACAATCTGCAACCCACATATAATCAAATCTCAACCCTGCACTAAAGTTGAAAACACAGGACTGAGAGCTGCTCACAAACTCACAGATTCTTTAATAAACTGATTCAATCTACACAGATGTGTTTACGTCTGAAATGTCTCTAAAGAAAACAGTAAGCAGGAATATCATTTAAAATATAGGCCGTAATGGCCAGTTTTCCTAGAGTTCCCAGAAACTGGAAAATGCAAACACGCCTTTATCAGCTACTATGCTACTGTGTCAGAAATGCAACAGAAGAACAACAACTGGTGTATCTGTTAACAGTGCAGCCAAACAACGGTGAGGAGTTGGCAACAGCATGGCAAATTGTGTTGTTTATCCTGATGATGAGCTGGTTATTGTGAACTGTTGCAGCTCGTCATCTAACAGCTCACCATGATTGTTACCTCTTATTCGATTCTGGTGTTGCAAAACCTTTAATTAACAAAAATCGTCAAAAATGAGCAAAAAGACCTTTGTGTGACAAATACGATCTGTTCCCTGTGGCCACCTTTCCATAAAGAGACTGTATGGCATTAATTTAGCAGAGCTCTGATATAGCTGTAGGAGTGCGATCAGTAAAGAGTGGGGCTGGTATCAATAAGATGAAACTACAGTAATGCTGATTAAGTATGTATATCGTTTCCTGTGAATCCCCCAGGCAAGTGTAGGTAATTTGAATCCAGTGCGGGAATGGTGGATGTTTTCACCACTGAAACACATAGGATGCAATCAGTACTCCCACCTTCCCACCACAATATGTACCCACATCCTCAACTCCCACCACAGTTGCAACAGACACGTGCCAGACTCTCCTCTTTGTCCCCAGGCCCCTGTGGTGTTTCCTGACCTACATTCTCTCTCTCCGCCTGTATTTACAGCTTCCTTTCAAACAACATGCAACGGGTTGTTTTCCTACTCAATCACACACATGCTGAAAACATAAAGCCACTGTTCACCTGTGAAGTTACCATTACCACGACAACAGAAGAGGCAATAATGCAATAAGATAAAATTAGACGATGGAGATCCAGGTTGCAAGGTATCATACATTTCCATACTTAGGCTGTAGAAGACTGAGGAATTACACAGAAATGACACCGTAAGGGAACATTGGATAAAATACATATAGACAAAGAACACACAGATGAAGTCTATGTAATCTGTTAAAAAGCTCCAGTACAAGTGAGTGGACCTTGAGTGAAGATCAAGGTCAAGAATGAACTCTGAAGTTTCAAGCATTACAATTTCATTGCATTTCAATTATCCAATGCACTGTATCACAGTATTTGTAGCTACAGCTCATTTCAATCAAGTATTATCATTGGCAGACAACATTCTCTCCATAAAATATGATCCAGTTTCACCAAAATTAGTGACATACCTTGTGGTGTGTAAATAATTCCTCAATGGCCTGTGAAGTCCTCATAAGGGATTTCAGCAAAATCTATCCCCTGTGGGCCAAACTGTTAACGTAACGCACATAACGCTTTACACACCACAAAGGATGTCCCTCTGCCTGCCTGAGGTGCGTGTGAGGGTCGGATGTCAGAAATAGACAGTAAAAAGGGTCTGTTCATAGTCATATCAACTATATACCAGCAACATATACACCTTTCACTACAGTTTCAATTTCTATATCTGTGGAATACGTCACAGACATGGAAAAAAATATGAATTCAATTTGTTTTAGATTAAAAGCTCTGGTGTTTCTGTGAACAGAATCCATTCATATGTTAACAATGCTTTTATTATGTTATTTATCAAGGGCAAATTCAGTATAGAAAGATATGGCTGGCAGCAGCATTCCATGCAGCTCACACTCTGTCGGTATAAACACGCCATGCGTGCCAGATGAAGCTGTTCAGCGCAGTAGTCACCACACACTGCTCAGGTAGGCGGTGTGCACCGAGTGTATAATATTAGCTGGCTTGCTTTGTCTTCTGTTGTCGCACTTGATGGATGTTAGCAAAGTTGTCGACTTGCCTATTTGTTATGATTACATTACTTAAGATCAAAAACTAGCAAGTACAGACGTGCATATTTACTTCCAGGAATAATGGAGAATTCAAACATTTATAGTTCCATGACTACTGAGCAAACTTCACACAGTTCAAAGTTCCAGATGAAGTGTGTAAGTGGACCATGAGTGGAGACTGTTTTGTCTGCTGGAAGGTCTTCCTATATAAATGTCATTAACATACCTACTACGACTCTTAATAACATGATACTTTATTGATCCCTGGGGGGCAATTCAGCTCTCTGGGGAAGTCAACGGTCAGAGGTCTGTAACAGAGCAACAGACCAGGAGCTGGATGGGATTCAGGGGCTTGATCAGGGACCCTGCTGCAGTGTGGATGTCTGCAGACACCAAAAATATAAAGGAAGGGTTTTTCTAGTGAATATTGCATCCGGCTGCTTTTTAATGTGTGATAATATCCAGGGAGCAAAACTGAAAACTACCCACTTCAGCCCCATTGCTCATGTGTCTTCTTTCTCTAATTTTGCTCTGCCCTCGATAAAACTGAATACAGTGCCGCACTGTTCAGTGTGCAAGAGTTGTGATGGTGGTGATGAGTTCACTTTCCCTCTTCAAATACTACTGACTGAAAGCAGACCGGAGTCTAAAGTCTAAACAATAAATCCTGGAAATTGAGTGAGGTTGAGTGAGGGCAACTGGTCTGTATGTGTTTGTGTTTGTGTGTGTGTGTGTGTGTGTGTGTGTGTGTGTTTGTAAGAAACGTGACCATATGGCAATCATTAGATGTGGGCTGATTCAGCACGCTGGCACATTTATGTGTTTGCACGCGAGTATGTGGAGCTCTGTCTGCCACCTCCAGGTTCAGTAAGTCAAGCACCACACCCCCGACCTTGACACACACAGCTGAGAGACTAAAGACACATAACACAGGATCCAGGAGAAAACAGCGGCTGTTATCATGGCTGCCCCTAGGTGTGGTAGTCACACATCACACACTGTAAAACACTGAGAGACACTGCATCGTCTGTTCACGTCCTGCCTAAAGCAGAGTTTTCTACCTGACCGCATACACTTCATGTTTGGAGCAATGTTTGTTTTTGTGAGTTGATTTACGGTATGTCTAGTGTTTATTTGTAGAAAATGTGTGCTAGGAATTACAGCTCAAAAGATGATAATCTGTTGATTATGTGATGATAAATGAATGCATTACTTTAGTGAGGTTTTGACCTTTTGTTGTGGTTACAGCTGTAAAATGTCAAGAGCTCTTGTAAAAATATAAAGGCCTCAATATCCTTAAACCCAAGGAGGGGCTGCAAAAGAGAAGCTTCCACTGAATAAGTCATTATGATATTATTACCACAAATCAAAGTCTGCCACTGGCAAGACATATCTATGCTAAAAAAGGTGGCAAATCAAAACTTGACAGAGTAATAAGAAAATGTCTCCTCAACCGCACTGAGCAACCGCTCCAGCCAGAGATATCCCCAGAAGCTTCAATGTCACACATTCATCAGCTGAAACAGCTTAGTTAATATAAGAAATGACCAAAGTCACATTCATGTTTTCATAATGTCCAGCTTTGCTTATTGTCTTACTTTTCATATTCACATTGTAGTTCACAAGTAGTCATTCATAAGTCGTTTTGGGATTTTAGATTGAAAAATAATTAATTGCATTTAAATGTGGAACAAATGGGAGATTTTACCACTTTTCCCTGGTTTATAATATTGTAAACTGAACATCTCTGGGTTTTGGACTGTTGGTCAGACAAAACAAGCTATTTGAAGACGCTACTTCTGGTACTGGTAGACTGTGATCTGGAGGCATCTTTTGTTATTTTCTGACATTTTGAGACGGCAAAGAAATTGGTTAATCAAGAAAATAATCAACAAATCCATCGATGAGGAAAATACCATTAGTTACAGCTCTTACTCCAGTACAATGTGACAACTGTATAATGTTTACAGGACACTGAGTGAATGAATGAACTGCTGCCCGGAAGGTAGGAAAACAAAAAATCTGTGGTTTCGGTTTAGATAATGTTGAAGTATACACAATTTGAAGTAAACAGAATAAATCCCTGATTGGGTCCAAGTTGATTCGTACTATACACACCTGAAATAGCCTTCTGTAAAATAATATTTTGAAGGTGTAAGGTTTCTGCTAGGACCTGACCCAGTGCCATCAAACACATCATCTCTTTGTATCTTAAAGCCTATAATTCCTCGACATTTTGTTGGACGATGCCTCGACTCGCCTGACTTTACGAGGCCCTGAAAAACACATCAAAGGAGTTATGCAAATTGACTATGACACAGGCACTATAACTCCCTACAAGAGTTGGGATTGGATCTAGCAGCTCAGCTGATACTCAAAAAAAGAGACACAGAGAATTCTAGAAATACATTATTATCCTCATTATTCATATTTGTAGGTATAGAGACCTACCGTATCACACTGTGAAATGACACTCTACCTGCCGAGTTGCACAGTACCCCTGGCTGTGCATCCAGAACTGCTGAACACATTAGTCAGTTAATGGGCTACTTAAAAAGAGTAGGAGAGAGAGGAGGAGGACATTGGAGGAGGGAAAGCCAAAGTCAAAGGGCATGAAGGGGGCAGGGAAGTCATTGACAATCAGAAAGAAAGAAAAGTGAGGCAAGTTGAAGAGGGGAGTGGAGCAAGAGGGGGAAGGAGGGGGAAGAAAAGTGAGAAAGGAGGGAAAGAGGGTTAGGAGAGAGAGGGGTGAACCTCCTGCAAGACATAAATAGCCGAAAGAGAACTTGGAGCCTCGCAGTCACTCATCCCGACAGCCACCATCCATCGCTCTCCTCTCCCCTTCTCCTCACCTCCAGCCCTCCTCTCCACTCATCTGCTGCAATCCTTCCTTCATCTGGAACCCTGAGCAAAAATCAGTGAGTAGTTTCTACACCACATCTTCATCCTGTTGCCACACGAGAGCACAGAGATGTTTACATTTACATTTTCTGCGCAAATTAATGGGAATGACAGCTGTATTATAAGGGACACGCATGTATAATTATTGGCAATTATTTCTGTAACAGTGGAATTGTATCTAAGCGAAAACTAATTCAGACAGAGTAAGCAAACATATGACAAGGAGGTGAGAATGTAACATCTCCAGACAAACATTGAACACATCCTATTCTACTTTTGTGAAAATATGTTAATTGCAATAGCACCCACTTTAGAATAAATTAAGAACATTTTATTGTAAGAACAGTAAGTCTACACATGTATTAACTCAGCATTAAGCAGAACTGAATTGTTTATATTAAGTGGTCTATTTGATTAGGCATTACACTAAAACTTATATCACTCTATGTGCATGCTGTTCATGTGTATTCCTCTTAGAGGCAAGGATGTGCTTCATGGAAAGCTACAGGACTTCATTAATGAGGGACAGGGACATATTTATGAAAGAGTTTATAATCACACTGTTAAAAGAGAAGGACTTGAGACCTACAGCAATAAAGAGTCACTGAGATTACAGGATGATGTTGCTGCTTCTCTGAAGTATACAGTTTAGTGAGGATGATGTGATGAGGTATCCAAAGTTAGGAAAGTCAGCTGGAACAGCTTTACTCAACTAAATAATATCTTTGAGTCATGAATGCACTGTAGTGCACAGCAGGCTGTAACTACAGCAACAACAAATGTTTCAAATCTTTTATAGTTTGCATCTAAATGAATACAAGATCCTACACAGCTTAACTGAGTTTCAAAGTCAGTGGAAAAACAGTGGAGGACGCTTAAGCAAAGAATTTTCCTTCTGACTCACATGCCCCTCTTGTTAAACTCGACACTGATGCTGCAGCTAGACGCTTTGCCCTTTCACCAATTCTGCTTGTCAGTCTTGTCAAGTAGAGACGTCAAAATAAATAAGACAAATGGTAACTACCTGCAAATCACAGTTTTACAGAGGCAGTGAATGTGCACAAAAAAGAGAAAATAAATCCTCTTTGGAAGGACAAAATTATCTGAAAAGACATTTATGGGGACAGTTGATAAAAATAACTTCTGGTGTATCAGCAGCTCAGAAGAGAGAAAAAGTGTGGCAACTATACCTGTACACAATTCAGCTGGATGACTCAGCGTGATAGAAACGTACTAATACTGATGACTTTTCTCCTTTGTTTGTCCTCCTTTTCATATATTTTCTTCAGGTCCTTCATCCTCCCCCAAAACAGCCCTCCTTATCATGGACAGCACAAGGAACCTCCTCTCCATCTCTGAGGCACTCTACCACGTGATTGTCATGATGCTGACACTGGGCCAAGGCATTCAGTCGATGCCTGTTCCAACTGATGTCCCCATGTGCACGGCTTCAGAAACTGCCCAGTACAGGCTAACGTTTACTGGCAAGTGGACCCAGGCAGCTTTCCCTAAACAGTATCCTGTCTACCGTCCCCCTGCACAATGGTCAAACATTATTGGTAAGTACACAGCAAGCCAGTGTCGAACTGTAATCTCACTGGTCACAGTACTGACAGCAGATCTATATATATATATATATATACTGTTTGGATGAGTTACAGGAAGCTAAGGTGAAATAATGCATAAAGAGAAATCCAGAGAAAAATATGCCCTGATTGGTCAGTATACAGAAAGCAAATGGGAAAATGTCTCCCATTGAATGCCACTTATTATTCTGTTATCAACAAAAATGAAATCTTCTCAATAATCCACCCAGGACAAAATGTTAAGTTATACAACCTGATTAATATCAGCCAATTGTTTTACATCCTTTTGCAGAGATATATATAAACTGTATGACTGGTTTATCTACATTATCTATAATCAATACCTGTTGCAACAACTTACTTCCCTCTCTCTGTTCTTAGGAGTGACTCACAGCTCCGACTACCACATCTGGCAGCGTAATGAGTTTGCCAGCAACGGAGTGAGGGAGTTTGCAGAGAAAGGCGAGGCCTGGACACTCATGAAGGAAGTTGAGGCGGCCGGCGAACGCATCCAGAGCGTTTATGGGATCCTCTCCGCTCCCGCTGTTGTGGGAGGCACGGGCCAGATGAACACTGAGTTTGAGGTCTTCGCAAGGCACTCCTATGTAAGTCACTCAACACCTGGTGTCCTTCAGTCTGGGTCAGCGCATATAGCATAGTAGAGGCCTTTTTCTGACAGGTCTATATATATATAACTAGGTGATCCTATGCTGTCCTTAGCTTCGGTCAGATTTTTTTTTTTTTATCGTCATATGTAGTTTTTCCCATCAAGCTCAGGTATAACATTTTACTACCAATAGACACAGCTTTACATTGGAGTGCATAGATGATGCAGATTTCCAATTTCACCATATAATAAACTGATTTATAAGTAAAAATGGATGTCTTAGAAAGAATCTGTCCATTGCACATTGCAGAGGTCCTTACTGTTACAACTCTGACCTACCATAGTAGGTGAGCAGGGTAACATTATAATGATTCACTGTTGTTTAACGTTCAACTAAGTGTTTTATATACCTCGGTTACACCAGAGAGAAAGTTATTTCAATTGAGGTTTTTGCATGTCCCAGCACAATGATTGTCAGTAACAACAGCCAAAACTATAAAAATGAGAGCACGGTTGTTAAAAAACTAAAATCACCTAGTTGTCATACTAAAGCATTAGATTTTGAGAGAGAGCTGCATTATGCATTTTTAACTGTGTTGATGCACCAAAACAGTTAATGCTACTATAAAACCAGCTCCAGACTGTTTTTTCCATACACTGCACCCTAAAGAGAGCTTCCAAAAAACCTAGCAAGCCTAATTTATGCTTCTACAAATTATGTAAAACTCTGCAAGAGTTGGCTGTTAAACTTCCTACTGATGAGTGTCTGGGTAGATCATAAAGTTGGGGACAAGTCTGACCAAACACAATGTTAGGCTTGGATAAGAGACAAGTGAGGAGGAGAAGAAGGGGTGTTTTAGAGTGAGAGAAATGGAAAAAGGCCAGTTGGAGACAGAAAACGTTCACTAACACAAAACAAACTATACTCTGGTACTGAAATTACACCATGTGTAGGAAGGTGGATGAGTTACTGGACTACAAATCCCTACTATAATGTTACATTGCTTTTAATTGAGCACAGTATAGCACAGTGTTATACATATCACATTTGGTTGATTTAAAGGTGAAATCCACTGCTTTACTCAACCAGCTAGCAGCTCAAGACTACAATAGCAAGTCTGTCAAGAAAGAAGAATACATGGAATAAAACAATAAATATTTGAAATTCATTGACATCGATTTTTATACTTTGGTTTCCCAAGGAGAGGAGGAGGGAGACGGGTGGTACCACGACACCAGATTATCATAGTTTCTAAAAATGTAGCGCAGTGAGGATACAACCACTTCATACACAAGACTTCTATAAAGCGGACCTACCCATGAGCCTTGTTGGACCTGTTTATATGAGTCAGCTGTAACTCTCCAGCAACACTGGCACAGCACTGACACAAAGTGTGGAGATGGGCTGCTACGCGAGGCTAGTCTCTAGTCATTAGAGAATCCAGTATGCAGTGTAGTTCATACTCTTAATGTTTTTGTGTGCAATAGAACACTGAAAACCAAATCATATAGGGTGACACAAAATAACCCTTTTCCATTCTCTTTTCCACTCATGACTTTCTCCTCCTCTCTCTCCTTATCTCCATCAATCACTCTGACCCACCTCATTTCCCTCTCTTTCTCCTTTTTCTCTCTCTACGCTCCATGTCTCTCCCCACGCTCTACTTCTTCCTCTCTCTCTGCAGCTGTCGTTTATTGTGCGCATCGTTCCAAGCCCAGACTGGTTTGTGGGTGTGGACAGTGTTGACCTGTGTGATGGCGACCACTGGAAAGAAAATGTGTCGCTGGAGCTTTTCCCATATGATGCAGGAACTGACAGCGGGTTCACTTTCTCTTCTCCCAACTTTGAGACCATCCCACAGGATAGAATCACTCAGGTGGGTCAGCCCGAGCCAAGAGCAACATGCGTCAGTCCAAGTCTGAAAATCACTTGTGAACGTATAAACTCATGTTGCCTGATAAAACCAGTGTTGGTAAAGAAGTGCACATTATTTAATACCACTTTTTTGTAAGACAAAGAAGCAAAATCAAATCAATCTGATAACAAAAGATAACACAAATGACAGAACAAACTATTATTATCATCTGAAAATCATTGGCATGGTAAATACCCCACACACTTAGATCATAATTATCATAATCATAATTAAAAGAATGTCACTATTAAAGGCTGATGCTTCCTTTTGAGTCCAATGAATCACCATATATTCACTGTTATACCTTGTCCATTTCCCCTCCATAGATCACTTCTTCCTTCCCTAGCCACCCTGCCAACTCCTTTTTCTATCCCCGCCTGAAGCACCTGCCACCCATTGCCAAAGTAGTGCTGACCAAGATAAAGAAGACCAATCAGATCATCAGCCTGCCTGTGGAGCCCACCCAGTCCAACCAATTGCCAACAGGAAACGAGATCGAGGACAATGTCATAAGTAAGTCTGAGGAACATAAATACTCGCTGGCTAGAATGTGGCATATTAATATAAGAAGAAGCCTATAGCTAGCAAATAAATGATTTTAAACATTCAAAAACTGAACTTTGCAGATAATTTATGAGGAAGGAAATGCATTTAACAGGGTTTGCTAAGCCTCAAGGATACAAACAGTTCATTTTGGTGTGAACACAGCCAGCATAATATCCTGAAATACAGATTAGTAAACAATGTTGTTGCAGTAGTGCAGGTTTGCATCCTACCATTAGGTGCCTCTCTCCATTCCACTTGCCTTGACCAAATAACATACCAATTTAAAAGAAAAGAAAAACTCCATATATGCTCTAAGTTGTGCAAAACACAGAGGTAAGATTTCACACAATGCTCAGAGCCTGGGTCTTAATCTTTTGCTGACTCAAATGAAAGCATTTGGGAACCATTACAGGCCACACACAAACTCAATTACTTCCAACCAGAAACCAGAGAAGCCAAGTGAGGGTAGGGCATCAGAAAATGCCGGGGGCACATCTGGCATCCAGTGGAACAGTATAAAGATGAGAGACTGAGAAAGTGAAAGAACATTTTAAGAAAAGCAGGTAGAAATTATGTACAGCAATGTTTGGGTCGTGACCCAAAATAGGATGCAGGCACGCATGTTTTAACAAGAGCTGGATCCATAAGGTGAAGCTGCTGGATTTACTTAATATTCATTCTCAGACTGTTAAATTTTAAGACTCCCTGTTGTACAGATTAGTGGTAACAGTAAAACAGCCCGACTGCAAGGAAGAATAGAAAGACAGCTTGGAAAAATAAAGATGAAGAGTGTGTATCTACAAGTAATGGCCTCAGTCTGTGTGACTGATGTCCAGTATGACAAGGAGGGGAAAAAATAACCTTTTATAAAAACATAATTTACCACAGAAAGGCTAAACAGATGACTTGACCAAGAAATATTTTTTTACATGTAAACCTGGCAGTGGAGCTGACTGTGCGGTAATCAGATTCAGTGTTCAGGGTGACTGTAAAGGTTTGACTCAGCATCACAGACTCCAAGTCAGTTCCCTTGACTACCCATCAACAAACAACAGACAGGGGCCAAGAATCTGTTGGGGTTTCCTGCCTTGATCCCAATGCTCCATCCTAGCCCTCCATCTGTTTACCCTTCCCACCCTCCATTAATCCCTCCATCTCTTTCATGTCTTCTCCCCTGGGATTGAACAAAAGCTTTCATTACAGATTAGCAATCACCTGCTCTAGCTGTAAAGCATAATGCCAATTTAATATAGGATAAATCTTTCAGTATCTAATCGTATTATCATTCCCTCTGTCCTTAATGGACACACAAGATGAAGGGATTTGACTTGCTTGTTCCATCCCTCCATCCGACCGTCGATCCATGTAGCTTCCGTACCGCCTCCCATCCTTCTGCTTTTCTACTCTTTAACAGACAACCGACAAAAGTCTGTGATATATATCAGCTATATGCAAGGTTGACTGAGGTAGCCCGGCCAGTTCACCATACTGGAGAAAGGGAGCTGAAGAAATGAATAAAAAAGTAGCGCCCCTTTCCCTGTATTACAGTTGAGGTGCCTTTTAGCAAGGCTCTAAATCTCTGTCTGCTGCAGCTGACTGATTAAATGGTAGCACTGTTGAATGTAAGGCAGGACTATACCGACAAAGAGCAAGTAGTCAGCAAAAACTCACTCAATAAATGAAGGTTAAAAAAATTCAGAGTCACAATCAAACGTGACCCCAGCAGCACAACAACTGCCAAGAATCTATAACAAGGAGCTATGGGTTCATAAAGTGCTGCACACATAGCACACCACCGCTTCTTGTAATTCACTCTCATTATTTTATTCACCTTTTTAAAGACAAGTCAGGGTTGAAGCAGTGATTTTCCATATTATGACTAAATTTCTTCTTTCCATTCCAACCTATAAAAGAAAACACAAATATCCACTCACAAATGTCCATGACCATTTGCTACTTTGAAATAAATACAGAATATTGAAAAATGAGGTAACACACTCCCGTGCAAGTGCTGAAAAGCACTAACTCAAACTAAATTACAAGCAAAACCCAAATGTTAACGTGATTACACTGCCCTCCCCTCCTCCCTTCTCACTGCAGATACTCCTCTGGACTGTGAGGTGTCAGTGTGGTCTCCTTGGGGCTTGTGCAAAGGCAAGTGTGGAGACTCAGGCGTGCAGCACCGCACCCGCTATGTCCTAATGCACCCAGCCAACAACGGAGCAGCCTGCCCCCTGCTGGAGGAGGAGAGGAAGTGCTTTCCGGACAACTGTTTATGACTAGGCCAGGAAAGGAGGGAGAAGAAAGAGAGGAAGGAGAGGAGAGAGAAGAAAGAGAGGAAAGCCAGGAAAGGGAGGAAAGGACGAAGACGGAGAAACAACAATAAAAGGTCTGCAGTGTATTCTCATGAGGCATAAATATGATCAACAGGACTCCCTTCTTTCCTCCCTGGCTCTATCTCTGTGGATATGACTAACGTACTGATGCAAAAAAATTGTTTCATTCTCAAGTCTCATTGATTGATCTGACAGCACTAGAGAGGTGTAGTTTGGCAAAATGGCTATTAGACACCAATTCAGTTTTGGCAGATTATCAAAATTGTCTGGGGATAAAACAATGCTGTTAGAAACCCAGCTCTTAACTGAAAACACATTTTCACATTATAGTTGGGTTAGATTCGATGTTTCTGAAGATCACAGACGTTTGTTTGCCCACACTGGATTATAACTCCAAGCAGCTTTCATCTAGTGGATTTTGAAATAAATCCACATAAGATCTAAAGTCCCTATAGCCAAGAAATACTTAACAGAAAATCCAAATAATATCAGCTTCGGCACAGGGGAAAACAAGATGCCTCAACAGTTGCATTAGCAGTAGTACTAGCAGAAAAGTGAGCCATAGAATTAATGTACGGCCCTCTAAACTACGCCACATTCAAACATAATGTTTACAGAGGCACTGTGGTTCTTTCCAGAAGATAAAGAATATATTTATTGACAGGATTTTAACCTGTAGTGTACAGTATATCAAATCTGAAAGTAATAATTTGTATTCATTTTGTTAGATATTAGTTCAATAAAGAAAGTTTTTTGTAAAAAAAAATACAAAAAATGTACAAAAAATGTATGCAGTCTGTATGGTCAATAAAGTGTAAATATATCTTATTGTGACATCATTGATAACTCTTTTTTGAAGAAAGATACTATATTGTGTATATTTGGAGTTTTATTGCCTTCACATTACATAATCACAATAACAATTGTGAGTCATTTTTCCATGATATGGATTTAAACACTTCTTTAGTGCTTCTGCTCAGTGCGACCTTTAAATCTCAACCACACATTTGGGTGTAATTACATTTGGGCTCCCAAGTTAATATTACGAACACTGTGGATCAAACTGAGTGCAGAGAGAAATGCTTTTAACTGGATGACCTGGGTTCAAGCCCCGGTGTTGGCTAGCATTCGTCCTGATGAAGTGTTGGTCATAAAACGGATGGATGTGCTCACCAAGTATTTAAAACAGTTCACCAAATGTTGATTTAGATTACGAGGCCTGAAATCTCACAGAGCTCACTTCATGCTGTGACGTCCAGTGCAGCACATCCCAGCACGAAGCAAGAGTCCTGTTTAATAGGCAGAACAGACACCAGTTACACAAAAAGTGACCTCTTTTTTCAGAAAAGGTTTCTGGCTGGATGAAGACAACACAATTTCAAACAGATTGAAAAATTCTTCTTTGGTGAACAATACTGGTGTGAATATGTAAAACAGATAGAATCACTTGTGACCCCCCCCCCCGTTCCCACCATGCAACACAGAAACCATACTGCAGATGACATACTGAACAGCAATAAGAACTAAACATCTGGTGATTGAGAGAGCTCCTTCTGCTTTGAATGACAAGGGAGAGGAAAATTACGGATGCAGAGAATCAGGAGAAACAGCAGAGGAGCAGATCCTGTTTCTGGCTTTTCTTCTGAGAGAGGTAAGAGTAAAGTATGCACCTAGTATGCAGTACTATATAATGAAGAATACATTATGATGTGTATACTCAACAAGGGGTCTTGTTGCAAATACATTTTCTTGAAATCAGGATACATAAGTGTAAATTAGCATATACTGTGTCCCCCTGCAAGAGTGTTTATAATATACAACAAACAACAAGATCGATACTCTTGCCACAAGAAAAATCTGTTAAAAATGGTAGAAGGGAATATTGTATGAACTGGCTGAGTGATAGGCAGCACAACGTGGTACACAGTGAATTTCAGATAATTAGTACTTTTACAAGATATGTTTTGGAATAAATTACAAAACTAGTCTAAATCTTTTATCATATAAAAATTAATCTAATGTTCTAATGGCAGGATTATTTATATATATATATATATATATATATATATATATATTGGTGTGGGAGGGGAAGGAAATCTGATTATTTGCTTACTTTGAGGAATAACAACTTTTGCAGATGCTAAATATAAGAAGGGTTTATTCTGTGTGTGGGGGTTTACTTTATAAGTGACCTCATCTAGGGTTAGCATATGGCAACTATTGTATGTAATGGTTTGGATTACAATTCCCACTCAGTTTCCAAAGAGATGTGGACTCTCTTTCATACTGTGGTAACAAACACTGTGACACCGGTAATCCTCACTGTTTAAAAGGTGAACACCATATTTGGAAAAAAACTACAAAAAATCCCAGAGAAGAAATTAGAAATAAGTCAGTAGGCCAGAGATGAGAAGCAAATTTGTCTAAATTGCCAAGATTAACCATCAATCCTCATACTACAGCGTGTGCTCATACATATTCTCACCCAACAGTACCCTCGGCCTACAGGGACGACCAAAGACCGTCTTGAATATGTTACTTGCTCTTCTTGCATCTTGTGTGCCAGGGATGTCTAAAAGGACAGTAGTGCTCATACAGTGTAGTATGAGCACTACTGACGGATAATCTGTGTCTGTTGCAAGTGGTCAGTCCCGATCTGTCACTATTCTTAGCAGTCTTGCTATTGGCTCGCAGGTTAATCAGTCACAAAACGACCAGAATGTCTCGTCACATAAAGCAGCACCTGTGAGCTTTCTCACGCTCAAACTCCCTTATTGCCTTCCACTTGAAATATATCCTACAGGACATGGGTGTTGTATAGTCAATGAAAAACAGCTCAATCTTAAGTTAGAATTTGCGGATCAAGACAAAAAAAATCAATTGGAACCGCAGGCGAAACATTTGGTCTCTGTCGAGTGTATTGTAATTTAATAGCTCATTGTTAAATGAAAATGGGTTTGCGAGGCATTGGCTTTCTCCTCCAGTGTTACCTTGTGTTGGCAGCAGCCATGTATTTTGATCTCGGAGAGCAGGAGGAAAAATGCATCATTGAGGAGATTCCTGAAGACATGCTGGTCACTGGTGAGTCCTGGAGAGGGAATATTCCTCCTGAGTGTCGTTTACAATCTCAACAGAGGTTAAAGAGTGTGGAATTTAACTTTTAAAACTGATTGCTGAATGACACAGTGATGTTATATGTGCTTCCATGATGGTATGTCTCTTATTTCAGCGTGTGCAAAAGCCATTCATGACTGACCAAACTGACCCTTAAAGAATTTATTATGTGCTTCAACAACAACAGCAAATAGAAATAGATAATAGATAATAGAGCATTTCATTCACTGTAATCAAAGGGTGCTATATTTCCTACAATGAGCCCTACAATGAGAGACAGAGAGAAGTAACATTTGTTTAACCATTAAAGTGTGAAGGAATGTATATATTAAATACTATATTATGTATGGATTTTAATGTAAATCCCAATATGAAATGAACAATTTCTATTTCCTATTCATGCTCAATCTAATCCCTATCTCAACTGTTACAAGCTTAATAAAGACCTTGACTACTACTGTGTATGACTGTGTGTGTCTTACATTCAGGTTATTTCTTGTTGGAGCCTTGGGATTTAAAGACGTTCACCCACTCCCCTCACTTTGGCGTCACTGTGACAGTCAGAGACCCAAACCATGAGGTATTGCACTCACAGGAGAGGTTTATCACCTAACCCAGGGCCACACAAACATGTGTACGATGGTACACTAAAACATGTGCTGGCTGGTTTCCCCATTCAACCCAAACAAGGAAATGCATTTAACACAGTGGTACTAAAGATTAGCACTGCACAGTTTGACTGATGAGAACTTACAGCACTTTATCTGTGTTATTATATGAGAACATTAAGGTCTCACACCTCCAGATCAGCTCCACTGATGCCAATATGGTCCCAATATGAGATCCTTTAGTTTGAATTAAAATTCAACTTTTTAAACACTTTTGCAATGCCAAAAAATAAATGGACATTGAGACGATCTACAAGCTACACTTGATTCCTTTTTATATAATAATGCATAATTTCCTCTTTATTCGACCAACCAATAGAAATAAAACCACCACATCTCCATTTTGTTGACTCATAGCTGAAGAAATGTTGTCCTAACAGTGTCTATCCTGCTCTCTAGGTTCTGATGACCAAACGCTATGGTAAATTTGGTAAATTTACCTTCACAGCTCACGCCTCTGGTCAACACTACCTTTGCTTCCAGACCAACTCCACAAGGTTTGCTGTCTTTGCTGGAGAGAGGCTGGTGAGACCTATGGACACAAACAAAAAATTAATTTAACATAATCAGAGCGAAACATACAGCAACACATACATATTGCAGTATTACAGTAACATATCACACACTGAGTCAAGTCTGTAAATTGTGTGCTGAGTAATCATAGATTTTTTTTAAATAACCCCGAATGTACAGAAGCTGCACTTGGACGTTCAGATGGGAGAGCACTCGATCAACCCCAACACTGAAAAGACCAAAGACAACATGGAGACTCTGGAGAACAGCCTCAGCCACCTCATAGATCAGATGATGTACATCGCCAGGCAGCAGGAGTACCAGAGGGTAAATGAGTATTTTACTGTCCTGTCTGCAAACAACAATCCCATGATATGACAGTAAATGTGAGTACATCGCATAAGCTCACAGGAAAGGAGCAGTCTGGTACCTGCTAATATGAAATCCACAGTATCCAGGACTGAAAGCTAGTTAACCACCACAAAATAATGTTTTTATCATTTACCATGCTAGTGCTAATGAGATTCAGTCTGACTTGAAAAAAATAATACTGCATGGGATCTCTTCAAATGTTATAAAATGTAAGGCTAAAAATTTAATATTTGAAAAAAGACCTCTCTGAAACCATTTTCATGTCTCTCTCTTCCCTGTGTTTTATATTCCTTCCTCTCATTCAGGAAAAAGAGGAGGTATTTCGTCAGATCAGTGAAGAAACCAATAGTAAAGTGTTATGGTGGGCCGTGGTGCAGACCTCTATCCTGCTGTCCGTTGGTTTCTGGCAGATGAAACGACTCAAAGACTTCTTCATCGCCAAGAAGCTGGTCTGATGATGACCTCTGACCTGTCAGCTCTATACCTGATGACCTTACAGCATGTCCTGCCCATACCAGTCCTCCTGTCTGTACTGCCAACATGTATACCCTATCCCTATAAACACTGGCAATGAGAGAAGAGCCCTTTTAATTTAAAACAGCTGGTGACATGGACATGGGCCTATGGAGAAACAGACTGAGGAGGAAAGACAGTTTTTAATGCTGTTTGTGTAAGATGTGGACAATTATTCTTCTGTACTGTTACTTCTGTTAAAATAAATGGATAATTATAGCTGGTTGGCCCCATTATAAGCAAATATGATTCAGTTCAGATCATGTTCTTTAGAAGGGAACACAACATAGGATACTATGGAAAAATAATAAAAGCCATTTGAAGGACATTTTTTTGTGATTATTTCCCTTTTGTGAAAAAATAATTTACCTCACGCTCAAATATTAACTTGTGATGAAGTTTTATAAACCAGCTAGAGGTTTTAATAACTTAATCTAACAGAGATAACTTAAACTAACTTAAAGTCTTATAACTGTGTGTAACGTTAAGTTACCTAGCTGATAACAAGTTAGCTAATATAACAACCTGACGTCGTTACGTGTTAGTACCACAAGGTAAATCTGGGTTTACAGTTACAGTAGTTAACCTTAGTAATATAAATAATATATAAATAGATATAACTATTCTTAACTTCAGCTCATTAACTAACGTCAGACGTTAATTAACGTTAACTAACAGACAAACTGTACCTTGTGTTCAGGTGACGTTACGCAGTTGGAACATGACGTTACATGACGTTACATGACGTGGCTCCCACAGGTCCGTTATTAGCTCCAGGTAGTTAGCGTTAGCATTTAGCTTCACTTGCAGTGGGACACCCTAGGTAACGTATTAAATCTACATGTAACGTTACCTTACTGTGAGGAGGGGTTAGCCGGGTCGTAAAGTTACCCTAAACATTTTGAAAATCACAGTCAGGGTTTTAAATAAGTCAGTGATTCCAAAAAACACTTAACTGTTATAACTAACGTTAAATTAGTTTAGGCTAACGCGCCAACTCCTAGCGAGAGAGAGAGAGAGAGAGAGAGAGAGAGAGAGAGAGTGTTAACGTTAGTTAGCTTGTTAACTTAATCTTATCTTCTTGCAGGTCTTTAAATGCCTTACTGGATATGCTGCAACAACTGCTTCCTCTCCCCCACTGCAGAGCGAAAACTGGCTGTCACAAGCTGTGGCCATGTCATCTGTAGTGTCTGTTATCAGAAAGGTAAAAACAAAAGAGTGTATGATATTAGAAACAACCACTGTTGGGAATGTATGGGTGTATCTTAACGTTCAGTTGCACTGTGCCTGCTGCTGCTGCTGCTGCTGCCCCAGTCATGTGAAAGAGTGATTAGACAGGGACATCTGTTGGACTTCAGGTGATACTGCAGAGCTGGGGACTCACTTGGATCTTCTAACTAAACTTTTTAATGCCTAACTCTCTAAAAAGACACAAACGAGTCCCCCATTGAATACACTTTCCCAGAGGCAGCTGAGTTTGAGATATTATTTGTTGCCACACTGAGTTTGATGTTGTTCTCGGCCTTTGTTATGCTACAGCACAGACAATGACATCCCTGATCCAGTCACGCTCAGTGGGGGCTTCTCGTCATAACCTCAAATGAAATCAGAGTAAAATTACACCGTTCAACATTGGATATTGGACCTCGTGAACTATTCCTGGAGGTCCCTTGGTCCCACTTTGGGAGCCAATGATCATATTCACAAGACTGTTAGTCTGTTCCTGATGGGTCTAATATCAATCTGACTTTCAAGAGTTCATTTTAATTTGCACTGCATTTGCAGGGTTAGACCCAGAGGTTGCACTTCATTAATCTTGGGTCTCAGACAGAAGCCCTTTGAGAACCCTTTTTGTAAAGCTGCTGTATTGGATTTAGAGTCTAAATGTCCTCTATTCAGTAGAAAGATTATGCATTTTATTCTTAGCTCTATAATTTTGTCCATATTATTGCAATTTTTCTTTCAGGCAAACAAGGCAGTTGTTTAATATGCAATGCCAAATGCCAAGTATCACCTCTTTCTGACAAAGTAAGCATCTTTCTTCTCACTACTCACATCCTTTGGTGGGATAACATCACACTTTATAACTTAAGAAACAGATTGATATTTTTTGACAACCCTACTCCCGTAACAGTCATGTGAAATATCTTTGTTACAGAGCAGCTCGGAGGTGAAGGCCCTGTTCTCCGACATCAACGTTGTGGCAACCAAACACTTCACAGAAATCAGCAAAGTTTGGCCGTTTTCTATCTACACATCATAGAATATTAAAAAACAGTCATATTAACTGTTATTAATATCAGTCTGCTCAAGCTGGTTTGCTCAAAAATCAGTTTTGTAGATTTATACATGCAATATATTTTTAGAATATGTTCTTTATAATATTTGTATATATTATTATTGATTTGTCCAGACTTTATATAGCACTGTTTCTTCCCTTTTCTCAGGTTTTGATGTTCCAGGCAAGACATCAAAAGAGACTGTTGACTCACTACCAGCAAAGGGTGAGATACGTGGATATTTGTTGGCATGAATGTGTGTGTCTTTAAGGGGTTTGCTTTTCTTCATTTGGGAGGTATATTTTTGAGGATGAGTGCTGTTACATAAATTTTGCTATGTGGAAAGCATGTACGATGTAGATGATTTTAACCAACCAACCATATCAACTTTATAATTTAATTAGTTTCCTGCTCAGTATAAAATAGTCACACCTGCTCATTTAATCCATTACAGAATGAGAAACTAGAAGACATATTAGTCAAGATGAAGCAGGAAATGCAGCAGATGGCAAAGTAAGCTAAACCATAATTTTATATTGCATTTTCATACACATTACTAAACTACAGTTTTTGAAAAGTTGTTATTTTCCCTTTAAAGGAAGCTGAATGAGCAGAACGTCTACATTGCTAAGCTGGAAAACTCTCTTCAGCATCAGAGGTACAGCATGTAGATACTCATATTAGATTCAGACACACATTATGGGAAGAATAAAGATGAGTAACCCGTCTTAATAGCTCATCTGTCATTATTATTGAGTGTCTTACAATTGTATTATTCTCCAAGATTTGAGACTCTTAAAGTACATTCACAATGTTTATAAGGCAACCCGTTTGTTAAAGCTTGTAAATCTGATCTGTGGCTGTCAAGTTTGCCTACATACTTTCACAGCCACTTTACTGTGTAATTAGGCAGTCTTTAACTGCTCCACAAATCAGAATATCCTGAAAACTATTTACTTTACTTTCCAAAATGTTTATCAACAAGCATTTGGCTGATGTTTCATTCATCTGTAGATCTTTTTTTCAGCATCCTTCATTCACACGAGATGTAAATACCATACAGTATGTTGTACTGCATGGCATCAGTGATCATGACGCTCATAAAGAGTAATAGTCACAAGAGTAAATGAGGATCTGTGGAGGTAGTAAAACCTACAACTGGTAATGATTTGGGATTTTATGGTGGTGGTGTGTGCCTGTTTGAGTTTGGCAGCACCTTAGCATATAAAGTTATTTACAACCAGCTGGCTGTTATGCCTCACTTCTCACTAGGTGTCACTCCTGGCACATCTGCTCCTGGTCTGTTGCAACTGCAAACACCTGGATTAGTTGAAAGGCACTTTTAAAAACTGTATTTAAAAATATTTTAATTGTATTTAAATGAAATGTCTAGCTTACACATTGATAAGCATCTGAAGAATAATTTCAACAAATGTTACAGCCTGCAGTGTTAATGTAGAGTGTTAGCTCACCTATAGTTTATGTGTACTGCAATCCCTTTGAAATGTTCTGTGAAAAACAAACTAAAGGTAGACTCACTGTAAGAAAACACAAACATTCTCCTAAAAGATTTTAATATTTATGTAGTTATTATTATAACTATGTTATAGGCAGCTATGTCTGCTTTGTTGGAACTGATTAACCTTGTTGATTACTGTTTTCACTCAGTGCCAGGGTTTCACCAGTGCCTCAGATGAGCCACAGTTCCCACATTTCACATCAACAAAAATCAGGTAAACAATCTCATAGGCCACGTTGTTCAGACTGCAGGCCAAAGTGACCCAAATAGGATTTTATTTTTTGCTCATATGTGACTTAGATCTGCTTTTTTCATGACAATGTGAACAGGATAAATCACAATCACACTTTTAAATCAGATTCAGGACTGATTCTTTTGCAATGGGACCTCAGTGTGAACAGTCCTATCAGAATTCACTCTGACCTTCGTCATGCGAGTCACTTCAGGACTGGTTCACACTGGAATCTAATATTTTAATAATAATGTGAACAACCAAACAACTGTTGTCTTACTGTTGTTCACAGTTAAGAGTCACTCAATACAGTCCTTTGGATTTAGAGTTTAGTTTAAAAGTTTAAAAATGTGACAGAAAAAGGAAGCAATGTAAATCATGGTGATAGAAAAAGTATTTTGAGAAAGGCTCAAAACAGAGTACTAAGTAATACAAAAAGAGTATATCCCCCAAATTGTATATATCAGGATTAAACTTTGAGAATGATTCTATTTTTAAGGTTGTCAAGATTATTACATGTGGCATGATCTCGTGAGTCTGGTCCAATTAGGCTGCTGACTGACCATAAAACTGGCTCAAGTCCTGTTTTTGTGTTCATATCTCTGGAAGTCATTAAAACACACAATTCCCTGCATGACCATATTGTCTCATCATCATGAATAGAATATTCTGGTTGTTCATATTGTGTTTATGTTTCTTGTTTGGCGTCAGTCCTACAGATCCCATATAACTCCCCCATGTCCCTCTCAAGACACTCCTCAACAACTAATGTGTGAGTATTGTTCCTCCCTAACTGTCCACTGTCTCTCTGAACATCTTTAACCTTCATCTTTGATTTGCACTCTCCTCACCCAACCTCTGTTTTTTTTACCCTGCCCTTCATTACCTCTCAGCATAAGAGCAAGAGAGAGAATATAGGAGGTATTTCACAGTGCAAACAAGCTATATCCTAGGTTCAGCCCCGGTGACTTATGTTAGCTTTAGCTGCTGTATAGCTTTGCCCTGCCCTGCGGCTATGTACACACACACCTGAATAAGCTAAGCTTCGCTTGGGTTTAGTCAGGATTCCCTACTGGGTTTCCGAGACACAGTTGACACAAGATAGACTGTCTGCTTGAGCTTTATAGTACAAATGTTGTTTTATCCGCCGAGACTTCAGTTTCTTCTAGTGAGCGAAAGCAGTGTAGATGATGGACTGTGAATATTAACCCCATTTGCAGTAATACCGCAATGCCTGCAGGGTCAGTTCTGTTTTGATTTAAAAAGTAAACTGGTGATTTGTTTGAGTTGTCATGCAAAGTTAATGTGGAACACAGAATGCTTAAGGGCTTTAATAGGAATAATACATTGTAATTATAGAGTGCTTTTAAAAATATTTAGATTTGTGTTCCTGAACTGAATTAAAAATATGTAGTAAGTACAATAAGTCTCACAAAAATCTGTTTTCTTTAGACAAGCCCTAAGCTTCTTGGTGTATTGCAGTTGCAAGTGTTGCACTGTGGAGAAATGCATAATGTTTTCAATAAGATATAAAATAGTGTAATCATAGACTAGTCTTACAATGTGTTTCCCTTAAAACCAATGAATGCATAAAATGCTTGAAATACTGAAGAAATTACTACTGAAAGGATGTGCGTAATCATAAATTTAATCAAATGAGTTGTTACACTCTAGTATAATAATTCTGTAACAATGTACTGCAAACCATGTAGGGAAATTTGTTATGAATTCTCCTCAAACATAAATGTCAGTATTTCACCTAGTGAATATCTGTCTCTGGAACGAAATTATTTCAGTTGTTAGATAGACATTTGGCATGTTATAACAAAGTTCAGGCACCACTGCAGCTCTCAGCCAACTGAACATGAACATTAATAATGAAGTGTGCTTTCCTGCAGCACTGAAAACGTGGAGCTGGATGAAAGGAGTCTGTTCAGGAAAGTAAGTTTAATTGTTTCACCGCCCATGTCTGCTGTACAATTTGTGTTCTGATAATTAAAGACTTTGTTACATGAAGAATAAAAGTATGTGATGTTTCTCTCTTTCTGTCTTTCAGCCTAACACTGTCCCCAGACTGTCATTAATCAGCCCTCCACAAGATGGACGAATGGGTATGTGTTTTGCTCCGTCTGTCATAAAACCTGTATTTGCTCGTCACCACAGAAATATCTGTTGTCTATGTCTCAACCTTGGAT